CAACAATGTTCTGTTTTTTTTTGAAATCTGCATCGTTATGGTAATATAATAAGATTGTCAATGCGTTTTGCATCTGCAAGTCCTGTTTTTTTAACCACATGTGGGAACAAAACGCCCTCACAACACATTATAACATCCAACGCACGTTGCAAATGGAACAGCTAACTTAAAATTGATACATAGATGTGATCCGCAAGGCAATTTTTAGTCAAAAAATTGATAACCATATCATATTTCTACGAGTTCGTCACAATTAATACATTGGAATTGCAAAAAAAAACTAAAAAATTATCCATATTTGAATGACGTTTGTCACTATCGCTCCATGTCTACTACTTAACCACTTATAATCTTTTAAAAATTATCCTCGCTCATACTCTTACGTTTTTCTATTATCATATTACTGACGGCTCCTATTTGTTGCATTCATTATGGGAATCCACATCGTCGCATCGTTCGAGCCGTCGAGCATGCACGCCGGGATAGGTGGAATAGGCATGCTTTCAAAGTTGGTTACGAAACCAAACCAACCTTCAAGTCTTCGACCCTCGCGCATCAATGTTATTTTTTTTTCCTCGTGGACTTGCAAAGCTGCTTCGTGACATTCGACACACTCTTCCACTGTCCCTGCTTGTCCTTGTCTTCCGTAAATTCGCACGTCATACACGTCCATTTTCATGAACCTCACAGCAACTACAAATAATTTACAACCACCAACTTCGCATCTTACTATTGACTCATATTCGTATGGAAATGGTCCGTTTATTGTTGTGAGAGCTTCCCTTGCAGGCACTGCGATGGGAGTGATGCGCGTCATTGTTGTATAAGGTTTGCCTATTATTGTCTCCTGTTGTAATGTCGAGCACAATAACCCTGCAAGATCGGTTAGATAAGATTGTTCAAAATTAGTCATTCGACAAATATCGACATTATTAACGAAGAAATTATAGATGATACAACAAAAATTGTCTTAAAAAAATAAAAAATAAAGAAAAAATAAATTCAAATACGTTTGTTTATGCTAACTTTGAGCTTGTGAATTGCAAATGTTTGCGATTTTCAAAACTTCGTCCACATCATCGTAATAAAAAACGAAATAACAGGTGAAAAAAACACGATTAAACATAACTAAAAAAACAAATTTGCGTTCACCACACAAAGTGAAACTAACGATTGTTGCAGTGCGCTAACAATTCCTATTTCCATAGTGTTCAAAGTCATTCACATATCTGACCATTGTAGTCCGGAACGCGTGTCAGCGATGAAGCGCATTGATTGTTGAACATGTCTCGACCTGGACAAATGTATTTTGCTACTGACTCCTATCCAGGGTACCGTGAAGAATAAGAGGTAGAAAATTTGTTGCGTGCTTAATGTCTTTACAATACGGACAATCTATCACTATCTTCTGTCTGCCTCCCACTAACGGTACTTCTTTCTGTCTCGATCGATGGTACAGCTTTGTACAAGTCACTTCATCCATGTTGCATTTTCTATGCTCGAGTGTGAACACTATCTCCTCACATTTGTCAAAAAGGTAGTGAAGTTGCACATGCACCAAACTGTCAACCCTGTACACTAACTCGTTCCTAAGAGCCGCGTCAATTTCCAACCGATTCCGAAACTGTTCGAGCTTGCTCGAACCCGCGGGGTCCCAAAATTCTTTCCGGGCAGTGAACAACACATTCATTGTCGTGTCGGTGATCTTCGCTGCTGTAAAAAGTGTCACTATGGTCGTGCCTCTATTGTATACTCGGATTCGACCATAGAAGTCCACCACCACCGGTGTAAGCAATTCTTTTCTGCCAATGGAATACCACGCACACACTTTTCGTTCCAATTTGTCTTTCTCGTCCCAGTCCTGTTTCCTGCATATCTCCCTCTAGTTGGCTAACATCTCCAAAGGATCCACAACGTCTTTCCTCGATACAATGACGTATGCGTCATCCTCCTTTGTGTATAGGTACCACATATTTGATCCATTGTCGGACATAATCGTCTCTTGTCCGTTGACAAACCCCATGATCGGTAGAATTTCACCATCCGGTCCAACTTCATTTTCGACATTTAAGTACTCATAATCCGCAAATTCATCGACGATATCAACCGACCAAATGTTAGTGTCTAAAATAATGAGATCCTCAATTGTTGATGAAACTTGATGAAAGGATCTGCTTCCATGCGAGCTTGTTTGACCGACTTTCATCCTGCAAGTTGAGCGTGTAGACGAACACAATTCACGAGTTTCATCATATTGAATTCTGAATATTGTACACAGGGACGTCTATTATACAATTACAAAATTGTTTAACTACGAAGATGCTCAGTATAACGGATAAAAAATAGAAAAAGCAGTATATCCGCTATGATTATATTGTTGCGGTATGCTTTGCGCAGACGGGTGTGGAAAACATGTTTGAGAAGACCATCAGACACTGGAATGAGGCTCCTGAACTCCAACATATTGGCGAACTTGTAATGGCTTGCCCAAGGGAAGCCACCCACACTCTCCATCGCATTCTAATTACCATCGGTCCACTGGTCAAGATGTCGATTCATATATGGGACAACGGACCAAATCGAACGTGTAGACGCTCGTAAATAAAGTCGAGAAATGATAACTTTCCGATGAGGCTAACATTCAGTGATGGTACTTGCCTATCCGTGCTAAACTATTTGTAATATGAAAATTTGTTAGTATGAACACATACGTTTAACACGTTTTCCTTTGTAACTATACAAGTTGTGCAGAGGTGAGCCGAATGTGAGCATTTTCAAACCCTCGGGTTCGTCATTGTCGTCCCTGTCGAATAATGACATATACGACATCTTTACGAAACTGCACGTTCCGGCGAGAGCGACGCCAATAGCATCTCTTATGGTACATATTTTATGTTCTACTTCGTCCACGGACTCTTTCACATTCAACACCGTATTCTTGCATGTGTGTTCATTCGACAGTGCTTCGCATCGTGCCTCTATTAATCTTCCACCCTTACCTGTGCATGCTACGCAATTTACTCTACATAAATCGCTATCGTTTAAAGAAACTCTCACAGAGCAATACGATATGCGCTTATTGCTCGTCCCCGCTTCGTTACGCACGGGGTACGTTCTGATTCTCTGGCACAATCTTCCGCACCTTTGCAGTTCGACTTTGAACCGCTTCTGCCACGTGCGAGGTGATGTTCTTACGAACTTGCATGAAATTTCTCCATCCTCCTCACAACCCTCATTCGTCGAATCTTGGCTTGCATTTGCGACAAGAGGGTCATAAGTACCTAGGTGGTCGTTCATCCAGTGAATCTCTGCATAGTTCGGTATACATGCTGTCTCGAGACAGGCGGAACGTATTTCAATGATCCGGCCCCACTCCATATCGTTAGCAAATCTGAAGTTGTGCGCCCATCGACATTCTATCATTGCGAGATCCCAATCGCTCTCGCTCCAGTCTCCAACTATTCCTCGCCATGGCAGCACACTCAGCCATGGATCGACTTGAAGTGCCTCGACAATATGAAATTTGGTATTTTCATCCAACTGTCGATGATGGTTGTTGTCGTCACTGGCCATCCCACCACTCGAAAACACGCGAAGTAGCTTCTGTATAAAACACATACACTGCTGTCAGCATGCTTGAGATGCGTTAGAAATATGTCACGCCACTCCACCCTTGTACAGCTCCTCGTGAAATCCCCACATAAGACAATTTTTTATTCATTTCTCACGCCTCCCGCCGTATTGTCCGTCATCTTGTGCAGCACGTGTCGCTGTGCCCTGTTCATGCGCCGAAACAAGTGTTTCACATCGACAATCGTTTTTGTTTTTGTCTTCTTCAAATAAACAGTGGTTCCATCGTCGTTCAATATGTGAATCACCTTCACAACAATCGTTCCGATGACGGATGTCCTCTGCCGCACAAACTGTATCATCGCATCTCGAATGATACTACAAAAACGGCGAGCGTGCCTCGATACAACGTTCTTCTCGTTGTACACTGAGCAATCCATGTCATGCATTTGATCGTGCCTAATTTTTCGCCGCTCGATATGCTTACAACAGTATGTCATCCCGTGACGTGCCTCGAATGCAATGGATAGTATTTTTCCATAAGTGCATGTTGTGTAGTTGTCGTATATCGAGCCGCATCCGTAAAAATATTTATTCCATCCCTGTGCGCCGAATCTAAAAAATTGGCCTTGCGGATCACATGTCTTGGCCATCCTCGAGAGCTTGCGTTGCAAATCCGGAGCCCACAAGTCGAATGTGGGGCAAAAAGTGCTCTCGTCGCTTGTGTGGATACCGACTGCAATCATTTAGTGCTTGTACCGAGCCGGAATGAATTTGTTATATTGTATGGGTGTTCCCCATGCGTTCGCAAGATTGATTATAAGGCCGTTCTCGTCCATACTTGGAAAATGTCCTCGCGACGAATTACACTACCGATACGTCTGTCGACAAGAATAGCAAACGGTACATGTGAGCCGAGTGGAAACGAACATGTATAAATGGCGCACTGTCCATGGTGAATCGTCTGACCATACATTAACCATAATCTATCACACGGTCATGCATCGCTATGCAGATAGTGTTTCCATGCATAAGTGTAAGGCGGGGGGGGGGGGGGGGGGGGGGGGGGGGGGGGGGGGGGCAGGAGGAGGGAGCGTTCCGGCGTTTGATATCTTTACGAAACTGCACGTACCGGCGTGAGCGACGTCAATAGCGTCTCTTATCACACGGTCATCCTTTTGATAAACGCCGGACCCCCTCCCTCCCTCACCCCTCCCTTAACAGAAGCGGTGGGGCGGGGGGTCCGGCGTTTTTCCCCTCCCCCCCCATTCCCATTATAGAAGTGGTAGGGGGTGGGGCCGGGGGGAGAGAGGGGGTCCGGCGTTTGACAAACGCTGGACCCCCTCCCGGTTCACAGTAGCAAGAAGGAGTCTGGCGTTTGGCGGGTGTGTCCGGTGCTTCAAAAACGCGGGACCCCCTGGCTGTTGACCACTTTTGGGTGGCGCTCTGGCGCTTGTTGGTGTGGGTGTGGCCACACCCGGGCTTTTGTGTAACGCCGGACCCCTTTACGATTGAGGGTGGAGGGGTTCGACATCCCCACTGACAATGTTCTACCATTTCTTGGTGCAGCGGCCCAGGATGGGTCCGGCGTTTCACTATCTGCAAATGCGGACACCGACCACAATCCTCGAGCGTCTTCGAAAATCGTCATGCATCGATATCCCGACTGTTCTTGCATGCAGTATCAGCTGAATCCGGCGCCGCCAACGACTATTGTGCTTTAAGTGCATCCCCTTTCCGGATTTTCATTCCCGTTCTGGATCGAATTCCGCTGGTCCATGCCCATGCCACGCTTCTGAGGTCTGGCCATCCGAGTTCCGATTCCGTTTCCACTCTCCACGTCTTATTCCATGCATCTTCGTAAAGCTTTGAGACCTCTTGTTCGCGACCGCACGGCCTCCAGTACTCCACGAAAATCCGGGTTGTCTCCTTCTTGATGACACGAGCAACCCAAAAGGTGCACCCTTCTTGCACGTGGTCATCCGGAGCGCGCAGAACAACAAAATCATCAATCTTAACAACTTTACGAGGGTCGAATTCTGGTTTGGGTGCATTCTTCCTATGGCCGACAAAGCACTGTTTTCTCAACGGCTGTGGCACGACGCACGGGACCGCTGAGTCTGCACTTGGTTTGTTTGGCCTAGGTGATGGCCAAAACAAGTATGACAACGACACTGTTCCGGTCTCTTCCACCTTAATGTTGTCGAACTCGGCTAAACGGTCCGTCCAGTATCTCAGTCTGTCAGTCTTGAGTTGACGCTCCTCTATAGTTTGAGTTTCCCATTCGTTCATTGCGTCCTTCCACGTCTTCACTAAAACGCGTAGACCCGCTTTGCCGTTTGTAAAGTCACCAGAAGTGGGGTTGGGCGACTCGCGGCGCGGCTCGAATCCCCATGCGGGACCTGCCCATTTCTTGTCCGCACCGCGTTTGAACCAGTACACCGGTCCCTTGTCAGGCCCCCAGTTTTTGTCGGTGCAGTGCGCTTTGTAGACCATAGCCGGGTTATCACCCTCCATGTAAAAACGAAAAAGGTGGGGCGTGGCATGGCCAAAAATCAAGTTGTCAAGATACGGCGAGATCGCGGTTTTCCTGTCCACAATTTCCGCGAGTTGCGTGCACTCCACTTGTTCCTCACAAGATATTTGGAGCACCGCAAACAGTTCTTCCATCGTGTACGCATCAGACCCGTTGAGTTTGCGAGCAAACAAACTAAACTTCGCGTCGATGTCGATGTGGGTGTGACCAACTATCATGAACCCCATCAGGATCTCGTCAAAAATCCGAAACTTGACCAACATTGCAAGGAATGCGAAGACGAATCTGTTTTTGTTCTGTCCGCCGCACTTATCAGCTTGGACTTGCAGCACCGGCGGGAATTTCCCTTCTCGCGCTTGCACGTCCCTCATAACTTTGGCAATGGACGTAACTACAGAATTCGATCCGTGCGATAGATAAGGAAACCATGTATGCACAATCAACGACGGATTCCTACCATGAGCCATGATACCGGTGAGGTTCATTTTCATCATCGTGTTATTAGCCATCTCCTTATACAAATGTCGGCGTGATGCATGGGGAATGGTAGTTTTTGCCTGGTCCATTTCATCAATAATGATGCACAAACTCTGGGCCTTATGCAGCTGAGACTCGGCCGACCATCGGTCATACAGCTTGCGATGAGCCTTTTGCGATCGAGGTGGCTCCTTTGTGCGGCAACTAGTTCCCGCCGTGGCCCCGACAGGGCTCCCTCAATGAGGATGACGTTTTTTATGCACTCGTTGCACCTTGCGTGGTCAGTCACTCGACCGAGCCGAACGTGCCAAAAAAAATATCTCCATATCTTATAGAACACCTGATACGACGAGCAAGATATGCCCAGTTTGTCTAACCTACGTTCGATGTTTCTATAGACATCTTTCTTAGGAGCATACACTGAAGGGAGACAAATACGGTTCCTAATCTCGAAATCCGGGCCTGTCTCCGTCTGATCCGGCATGGGATCGGACTCGTTGAGGATAATATCCTCGAATGCTGACCATGTTAACGCATATTGCATTGTTGTCCGAGGACGACCCTCGTTAGCATGACCTGGGTCGACCACTCATTCGTCGAGGTCATCGTTATGTCTTTTGTATGTGTTTCGGCCACAACCGAGCATCAAACACCACGCGGTGACATTCACCGGATGCATTTCTACAATAGGTTTCACCTCCGGCTTCCTTTGGACCAGCGATGTGAAACTACGAAGCTTGGATATCCACCACTTGCGTCTGTCCTTGCCTCTAACCGACCTCAACTCGCGTCTACACTTTTGGACCTCCACTGCTTTCATTTTAGAGAGACATCTGTAAGACTTGCAACATGTCTTCTTCAAAACGGCCTCGCACTCTTCAAGGCTGCATCTACGTTTGTATGTGGCATCCGACTCGTTCGATGCTCTTTTGCTCGTGTGGTATGTGTACCTCCTTTTCCCTTGTCTACCGAACGACGAAGGCTGAGGAGGAACAACGAGTCCCCCCACCGTGGCATCATCGACTTCTGAACGACGATCTGTCGAAACTTGCTCTCGTTGGAGTTGGTCTCTAAGCAGTTGTTCCCGTTCGAACTCGGCGATGGTTGTTTGGGAAAGCAGGAAATCGTACGGGTCATCATCCTCATCGCTCACAGGTAGCAGGTGCACGAAACCCGAGGCCCCCGAAGCTGTGGATACACTGACGGAAACGACTTGTGTGCCTCCATTGACGATATGTTCGAGACGCAGACGTCTAACGACATTGTTGCCCGTGACCGTCTGTCGGCGACGAACAACACACCGTTCAGGCGACCTATCGATAGAGCCTACCCGACCCCGGCGTTTGGATGGTGTAGCAAAGCCTGAAGGTGATCGACTTTCAGCGGAAATAGCAACTTTAGTTGCATTCGATGTATGAAGCAATCGAATGGATGGCTCGACACTCATGGTGGCATTACCGGCCGTCGCGAGGAACCTGGCAAAGTGAGATAGCCACAACATTTGGCCACGAGAGAGTGAGAGTCTATCATTGGTTTTTGTTCTCACCCTGGATACCGAAGCGTTCCTGAGCGAACCCCCCCTCCGCCGCCTAGCGCCCGTTACCACGAGAGCGTCCAACGTTTGTCAAACGCAGGACCCCGTCTACCGCCCGGTGCTATCTTGGGGTCCAGCGTTTGACAAACACTGGACCCCCCGCCAAACGTCCGGTGCGAGCTGGGGGTCCAATGTTTGTCAAACGCTGGTCCCCCACGTGGGGTCGGGTAGTAGTTGGGGGTCTAGCGTTTGACAAACGCTAGACCCCCGCGCAAACGGTCGGTGGCAGACGAGTGTCCAGCGTTTGAGGAACGCTGAACCCCGTCGCACAGCGCCCGTTACGAGGAGATGGTCCATCGTTTGACAAACGCTGGACCCCGGTTTATCGCCCGGTGCCATCATGGGTTCCAGCGTTTGATCCCCCCCCTGTCGACCCCCCCCAGCAGGCGCCCGCGCGAGCTGGGGGTCAAGCGTTTGTCAAACGCTGGACCCCCTGCTGGCGCCAGACAGTAGGCAGGGGGTCCAACGTTTGTCAAACGCTGGACCCCTAGCTGGCACGAGGCGCTTGGCGGGGGTCCAGCGTTTGACAAACGCTGGACCCCCTGCCTACCGCCCGGCGCCAACTGGGGGTCCAGCGTTTGACAAACGCTGGACCCCCGCAGAGCGCCCGGTGCCAGCTAGGGGTCCAGCGCCAGCTAGGGGTCCAGCGTTTGACAAACGCTGGACCTCCCGCCGAGCGCCCGACAGTAGGGGCGACGTCCAGTGTTTGTCGAATGTTGGACCCCCCGCACAGCGCCTGGCGCCGGCAGGACGTCTAGCATTTGACAAACGTTGGACCCCCAGCTGGCACCGACCGCTGGACGGGGGTCCAACGTTTCACATACGTTGGACCCCCCGCCTACTGCCCGGCGTCAGCAGGGGCTCCAACGTCCGACTCCAGTGCTGGTTCGCAGCACTGGACTTGGGGGGGGGGGGGGGGGG